CCCGCCGCGACCCCGCAGACGGGACGGCAGGGAGACGCAGGCGGGCGAAGGAGACGTCCGGGAGCTCCGTCCTCTGACCCGGGGCGCGGACCGGCAGGGGCGGCGCGGCGCTGGAGGAGCGGACCCGGCACCGTGGTGTGCCCCGGCGGCCTGCGCTCCCCGGCGGCCTCCCGGCGGGCGGGCAGCGGGGCTCAGGTCGCCGGAGGAGGGCGAAGAGGCCCGCCTGTCCGGGGTAGGGAGAGCGCGGCGAGAGAGGACGGCTCTGGCGACCCGTGGCGTGGCAGCCCCACGGAGGACGGACCCCAGCGGCGCACGGAGGCGTGGAAGCGAGAGGCCGGGACCCGGGCAGCAGCCTCCCCGCTGGACGGGTCTCCGGGACCGGCCGGCCGTGAGTACCCCGGGCGACAGGAGCGCGGCGAGCTCGGCCACTCGCCCTGCAGCTAGGAGAGCTGTTCCCGCCGCCGCCCTTCTCCGAGCCGGGGCGGCAGCCGCCTCTCCTGCCGCCGCCAGCGCGTCTCCCGCCCCTGCCGCCGCCTCGGCCGGCTCCTTTCACAGCACCGCGCCTCCCGGACGGGACCTGCCCGAGCAGGTTTCAGCACCACGCGTGGAGGGGACAGCTCCCCTCTCGGGCCCGGCCGGGGCGCTGTGGGGAGCGAAGAGCTGGCTGATACAGGCCAACGCGAACAACAACAACAACAACAACAACCGCCACAGCCCTAATAATCATAACGATGCCAAAGGCCTCCCGGGAGGCGCAGAGCCGCCGGGGCCCAGTGCCGATCCCCGGCTGCGGAGCTGCGCTGGAGGCTGCGAGGGGGCGGCGGCGCGCTCGGACCTGCTGCGGGCCAACGGCTCCGACCCTGACCCGTCCTGCCGGGAGCGAGCCGGCCGGGGGAGGCCGGGAGAGGGAGAGGGCGAGGGCGAGGGCGAGGGCGAGGGCGAGGGCCGGGGGCAGAGGGGGGCCCGGCCTCGCAGGGCCGCCAACCGGCACCCCCACTTCCCTCAGTACAACTACCAGGTGCAGGTGGCAGAGAACCAGCCCCCCGGGACCTCGGTGATCGCCATGGCAGCGCAGGACCCCGACGCGGGCGAGGCGGGGCGCCTGGCCTACAGCATGGCCCCCCTGATGAACAGCCGATCCATGGACTACTTCCACATCCAGCCGGACAGCGGCCTCATCACCACCACCAAGGTGCTGGACCGCGAGCACATGGACCTGCACTACTTCCGGGTCACGGCGCTGGACCGCGGCTCCCCGCGGCTGTCCGGCACCACCATGGTGGCCATCGCCGTGTCCGACCGCAACGACCACAGCCCCGTCTTCGAGCAGGGCGAGTACCGCGAGACCATCCGCGAGAACGTGGAGGAGGGGTACCCCATCCTGCAGCTGCGGGCCACCGACCTGGACGCCCCCCCCAACGCCAACATCCGCTACCGCTTCGTGGGCGGGGCCTCCGCGGCCGGCCGGGCCGCCTTCGAGATCGACCCGCGCTCGGGCCTCATCACCACGCGCGGGCCCGTGGACCGGGAGAGCGTGGAGCGCTACGCGCTGGTGGTGGAGGCCAGCGACCAGGGCAAGGAGCCCGGGCCGCGCTCGGCCAGCGTGGAGGTCTTCATCACGGTGCTGGACGAGAACGACAACGTGCCGCAGTTCGGCGAGAAGCGCTACGTGGCGCAGGTGCGCGAGGACGTGCGGCCGCACTCGGAGATCCTGCGCGTCAGCGCCTCCGACCGCGACAAGGACAGCAACGCCGTGGTGCACTACAACATCATCAGCGGCAACAGCCGCGGCCAGTTCTCCATCGACAGCGTCACCGGCGAGATCCAGGTGGTGGCGCCGCTGGACTTCGAGGCGGAGCGCGAGTACACCCTGCGGGTGCGGGCGCAGGACAACGGGCGCCCGCCGCTCTCCAACAACACGGGCATCGTGAGCGTGCAGGTGACCGACGTCAACGACAACGCGCCCATCTTCGTGAGCACGCCCTTCCAGGTGTCGGTCCTGGAGAGCGCGCCCGTCGGCCACTCCATCCTGCACGTGCAGGCCATCGACACGGACGCCGGCGACAACGCCCGGCTGGAGTACAAGCTGAGCGGCACGGGCCCCGACACGCCCTTCGCCATCAACAGCGCCACGGGCTGGCTGGCGGTCAGCTCGGCGCTGGACCGCGAGAGCGTGGAGCACTACTCCTTCGTGGTGGAGGCCCGGGACTACGGCGCGCCGCCCCTCTCGGCCTCCGCCAGCGTGACCATCACGGTGATGGACGTGAACGACAACCGGCCCGAGTTCGTGCAGAGGGAGTACTTCATCCGGCTGAACGAGGACGCGGCCGTGGGCACCAGCGTGGTGAGCGTGACGGCGGTGGACCGCGACGTCAACAGCGCCGTGACCTACCAGATCACCGGCGGCAACACGCGCAACCGCTTCGCCATCAGCACGCAGGGCGGGGCGGGGCTGGTGACGCTGGCGCTGCCGCTGGACTACAAGCAGGAGCGGCGCTACGTGCTGACGGTCACCGCCTCCGACCGCACCCTGCACGACACCTGCCAGGTGCACGTCAACATCACGGACGCCAACACGCACCGGCCCGTGTTCCAGAGCGCGCACTACTCGGTCAGCGTGAACGAGGACCGGCCGCCCGGCAGCACCGTGGTGGTCATCAGCGCCACGGACGACGACGTGGGCGAGAACGCCCGCATCACCTACTTCCTGGAGGACAACATCCCGCAGTTCCGCATCGACCCCGCCACGGGCGCCATCACCCTGCAGACGGAGCTGGACTACGAGGACCAGATGACCTACACGCTGGCCATCACGGCGCGCGACAACGGCATCCCGCAGAAGTCCGACACCACCTACGTGGAGGTGAACGTCAACGACGTCAACGACAACGCGCCGCAGTTCCTGAGCCCGCGGTACCAGGGCACGGTGAGCGAGGACGCCCCGCCCTTCACCAGCGTGCTGCAGATCTCCGCCACCGACCGCGACGCGCACGCCAACGGCCGCGTGCAGTACACCTTCCAGAACGGCGAGGACGGCGACGGCGACTTCACCATCGAGCCCACCTCGGGGATCGTGCGCACCGTGAGGCGGCTGGACCGCGAGGAGGTGCCCTTCTACGAGCTGACCGCCTACGCCGTGGACCGCGGCGTCCCGCCCCAGCGCACACCCGTCCACATCCAGGTCACGGTGCTCGACGTCAACGACAACGCCCCCGTCTTCCCCGCCGACGACTTCCAGGTCTTCGTGAAGGAGAACAGCGCTGTGGGCTCCGTCGTGGCCCAGATCACCGCCACCGACCCCGACGAGGGGCCCAACGCCCAGATCATGTACCAGATCGTGGAGGGCAACATCCCCGAGATCTTCCAGATGGACATCTTCTCCGGGGAGCTCACCACGCTCATCGACCTGGACTACGAGGCGCGCTCGGAGTACGCCATCGTGGTGCAGGCCACCTCCGCGCCGCTGGTCAGCCGCGCCACCGTGCGCATCAAGCTGGTGGACCAGAACGACAACGGGCCGGTCCTGCAGAACTTCCAGATCGTCTTCAACAACTTCGTGTCGAACCGCTCCAACAGCTTCCCCAGCGGGGTGATCGGCAGGGTGCCGGCCCGCGACCCCGACGTCAGCGACCACCTGTACTACTCCTTCGACCGCGGCAACGACCTCAACCTGCTGCTGCTCAACCACACCAGCGGCGAGCTGCGCCTCAGCCGCAAGCTGGACAACAACCGCCCCCTGGTGGCCTCCATGCTGGTGACCGTCACAGGTAGGAGCGGCTCTCCCCCCCCGTTCCCCCTTCCAGCCGCCGAGCTGGAGTGGGGCTCCCTGACCGCCGTTTCTCCTCCTCCTTCCATCCGGGCGGCGTGGCGGCGCAGTGGTCACAGCGCTGGGGCCCTGGGTTCGATCCTGGACCTGGGGTGCTGTCTGTGTGGAGTTTGCATGTTCTCCCGGTGCTTGAGAGGGTTTGTTCCAGTTGCTCTGGTTTCCTCCCACTGTGCAAAGAGATGCTGGTGGCTTGCCTGGCTTCTGGGCAAACGGGCCCTGGTGTGAGTGTGAGGGAGCCTGTATCAGTGTGTGCCCTGTGATGGACTGGCATCAGCGTGCCCGTTGCTTGCTGGGATAGGCTCCCTCTGCCCTGCTACCTTGAATTGCAAGAAGTGGTTAGAAAGTAGATGGAGAAATCTGTCCTTGTTTGTTGTAATACATCGATAACAAACACATCCACATTCTCCTGATGGGCGTTGCTTTGTTATACAGCCTTCACACTTTGGCAAAAGGGTTCCTGTTCTCTAGATGGGATCTCACAATGCATGTGCACACTAGGTGCTGTTAAGAGAACGAAACTGAAACCATGACTTGGGGTTTCATGCTAGGTGGTACTACTGTGTGTGAGACCTTCCGCTAAGCCGTTTTCGAGCTGGGCGGGGGCTGGACCTCGTTGGGCTACACGGTGTCATTTCGGACTGTTGCAGTTGTTCTAGTCTGGTGTGGATCAAGCCCAGGCTGTGTGTGGTAGAAGAGTGGGCTATGTGTTAGTCATGCCTGGAACAGACTGGGATAAACCTAGACTGGTAAAGGGGCTGGTGTTCATATAGTACATGCTGTGTTGTACTGGAACGCACTGGGCAGGGCAAGAATCAGCTGTATTGGACCAAGATGTACCGGGCTAGACTGGATTGAGCTAGAGTGAGCTAGGCAGATCTGGACTGGACTAGGCTGGATTGCCCTGGATTGTGCTGAACGATGCTGGAGTACACTGGGCTGTTCTGGGTTTTCATATACTGGGCTGCACTGGACTGGACAGGAGTAAACCAGGATAGCATTGAGTTGGCTGAACTTGTCCTGCACTGTGCTGGAGAAACAGTGCAACTTCAGGGAGATTGTAAAAGTTAAAATTCCACAATATTTCAGTCAGTCTATACAGCACACTTATGTTCAGGAAAGTAATGTCTCTCTGTTTTTCTGTGTGTGTGTGTGTGCATGTGCATCATTACACATGAAGCCCACTTTTTATGTGTGTCTGAGTATTAATGTGTTTGTGTTACAGTATTTGTGTATGCATGTGTTTGTGCGTATGTGTGTTCATGTGCATTACATAAAAAGCTCACTGAGGATGTATGTGTGTGTCTGTGCGTGAGCGTGTGTGAGTATGTGTGCACACCTCTGTGCTTCACTGTGTCAGCTGGCACGTTTCTCCTCTGTGCTCACTCGTGCGACTCCAGCTTGCTTGATATAAAGAGCTGTAGCCCAGCAGCTAGATCCCCTCTCCCGCAGGGTGTCTGCCCTGGACCAGCTGTCCCACTGCTTAGCACACTCTTCAGCTGCTGTTCTTGCAGGTAGCCAGCTTGGTCTTCCCGCACTCAAGAGTTCGTACTGAAGTCTCCACATTAGTCTGACGGCATTAGAGGTTGTATCAGGGCATTGCTGTGAGCCTTCAGCCGATAGGTTGTGCTTCGTTTCTCATGGGAGAGTGGCTTAGCCAAGAATGGCAGTCAGACTCCCATTGCACAGCAGCCTGAGCTGTTCCAGGTTTTACCAGCTGCAGGGTCTTGTGATAACCTACAGACCAGACTTCCTGCACTGATGCCTAAGGTGAGGTCACTTGCCTCAGCCAAGCTTGGGAAGTGATGCTGAACATGCTGCAGAGCCAGCAGCTCGTAAGAAAGACCTACTGTGATTCTGACTCTCTTATCCCTGTGTTCCTACTGTTCCTTGAGTTCTTCATATTGCACGTGAAGTTCGAGCCACATCCGTGTGTGAAATCCCACTTCCCTCACGGAGGTCTGCTGGGTCCTCTAGAACACGTGCTTTTGCAGCAGTATCTAGAGTCTGGCCTGCGTGACCTTGAGCGAACTGACTTCCAGACTTGCAGAACCTGCTTCTTCTCCTGCCCTGGATGAGTCAGCTGTCTCAGGCTCAGGCATTGCTGATGCACAGTTCACACTCTTATCTCTGCAGATGCCTT